ACCCAAAAATTTGGTCAAAAACGGCAGCAAGGGGTCCATATTTACTCCGTCACATGTTTATAGTGTGACAATGTAACCATTTCCGTGCCGGCCGTATTTAAGCGATATCTTATCACCTGATTAAGATATCGTTAAGTGACAAAGTTAGCCTAGAGGATGAAACGATTATCCTAACCATCAAGGGTTTGTGTAATTTCATAGTGTGACAAAGTCAACTACACTGTGCCTTTTAATAGGGTCACTTATATTTACCAATATCCTCAAACTCAAATGAACGTGTCCATATAGTAGTGTTGAAAGTATTAAAAGTGGGAAATACGTACATATTATTAATATGGATGTACGTAATGGTTTCGCCAGGATAATAGGAAAGTACTGTAAAAAAATACACGGGGGAGGGCCAGGGGGGTATTAGACTGCGCAGCAAAGAACAGATCATAATGATGAAAATACCTAGAAGCTTTACTTTAGAAATAATACTTCAATTAATTTTTCATTCGAATGAAATTTTTTTGCAATCTCACTTCGAAGACCTTCGTCCAACTGATTGAATGTCATTTCTTCACATCATTTCGACTGACTTCTGCATTTGGTAAATTTTAAATACAAATATGATGGAACGACCATGAACATTGCGAACAGTTTACGCCAAATGCAACAAATATGAGTACTTGGCAGAGGGGATTTAGCGGACCCGTAGCTACAGGAGAACCAAAGCACACACCAAACAGTAAACAATATCATTAACATGAGAGTATGATAATTTATCATTGATAAAGTAATAGAGGGGCCTTGTAATAGAGGGGCCGGATAATAAGAAGACTTCAAGCTCTGAGATGGTCAAACTATTATAAACTCAATACTGACCTTGACATTTATTTCACAATTTAGTAACTATGCCTATGACTTTCAATGAAGAATAACAGAAATAGTGGGTAAGTGAATTTATTTTGAATGGGGACATTGTATCATCAATAATTCAAAGGTAGGCAGGTTCAAAAGGCTGAGTTGGTTCACTTAAATCTTCTGACAAGCCGCTCACATATTTCTATTGAGCTATTGATTAGTGGTCTGTAGCAGGGTGGTCATCAATACGGAGATTGCAAATATATAACCAGGTAAACCCAACCGCCACGCGATAACAATACTAATCTCAAAATGTGGTTCGAAAGAATTAAATTAATTGAAGAGACTGTTCTGGAGGGATATAAATTAATTGAAGCAGAAAATTAGTGGCCGTTTCTGATCAAATAAGAACACCTAACTAATTACCAGGAGGTGACCGGGACATGATTTTAGGCCTGACCGGGACCGGGACCGGGATACAAAATGTGACTTGACCGGGACCGGGACCGGGACCGGGACTGAGATTATCAATTAACCGTGACCGGGACCGGGACCGGGACCAATAATTTCTGGGATTTCTATCTTACCGGGACCGGGACCAACAATCCAATTTTACCGGGATGACCGGGATTTGACCGGGATGACCGGGATTTGACCGGGATGACCGGGACCAAAACTGGTATTCTCATATTGAAAGCTGCAACTTTCATTTACATTATAATTGAACAATTTGAATAAGTAATAACTAGAATATTAAATTAGAAAAAACTAGAAAAAACCCGTCAATATGGGGCATGGGCCTAATGTAGTTACACCAATAATATTCATGTACTGATTACTCAAGTTCACCATCATTCCTCATTCCTCAATCAATGATCCCTCAAATTATTCAACAGTTTCATTCTCCAATTCCAATTGACAATTGGGCGTAGCCCGAGTTGAAAACTTGATGTTAGTTTGCACTTATGAGTTATGTAACGATATTAGTTACCTAAACTTGTTTAGCAATTTTAAACATTGTTTTATTTGGCTCAGAGGTTGTTTAAAGATGAAATTCACAATGAATGAAAGTAAAAACTTAAAATCACAGTGAATGAAATTATGTAAAAGATCCCGGTCAAAATCCCGGCAAATTTGAGTGATTGACCGGGACCAGGACCGGGACCGGGACCAAGAATCCTGAATTAACCGGGACCGGGATCATAAATCAGCATTTGACCGGGACCGGGACCGCGACCGGGATGAAAAATGTGACTTGACCCGGTTTACCGGGACCGGGACCGGGATAGCTCAAAATTGCCAATCCCGGTACCGGGATTCCCGGTACCGGGAATCCCGGTCACCTCCTGCTAATTACTTCACATTTGGACCGCTAATTATCGTAGAGCCATAGTAGTACAGTAAAGGGTAATGGAATAGAAACAAACGGGTTATAGTATAGTAGATAAGAAATAAGGGATAGATATCGGATAAGTAATGAAAATAGCCCTTCTGCTCAGACCACCCCCTCCACTGCTCACCAAACGTTAAAATTCTGTGAGTCTAAGAGTTGTCCTGCCCAGAAGGCACTGCCGACCTTGTAGCGCAGTTCCTAACTTGTTCATGGTTTGTTGGAAGATCGTTGAGAAGAAGTTTTGAGATTGGTTCTATTATATTATATATAAACACATCTTCCTCCTAGCAGTACAATTAAACAGACATTAGACACGGAACAGAGTTAACTACTAGTACTATTCCTCATGGTGTTATATGTTCAGATACTACAATAATAATACAGTGCTATCAAATGTAGTTTGCTTTTGAACGATACAATTTAAACTATATAACCAGAAATCGAAATATAATTAATATTGAGGTGTTATTAATGTTATTTGCAGTGACCTCGTCCTCAAAAACCATTTGAAATTGAAAAAACTCAAAATATTTCAGTTTACCTCGTCTGAAAACGTCTTATAGTGGACATGTACAAAAAGCTTTTATGCCGTGGCCCTGTTCTTAACTTTATATTAAGAAAGTATACATAAAAACAATAAGATTTGATACGTACATTAAAAATCATTTTTGAGAGCACTCACTTTCGAAAAAATAAATATTTTCTTTTTCGAAAGTTTTGGAAATTTTGAGAAGTCTGTCACTGTAATACCGATCTTTCAATCATTTTAAAGGTTTTTTGGTTTATTTTTTACTGAAAATTACTTACAATTCGTACAAGAAGCCCTTGAAAGGATTTTATAATTGAACAATAAATGACGAAGTTACAGACCAAACAAGGTCGAAAAAAGAAAAATTGAAATTTTTGCCTACTTCTAAAGTTGTACAATTCACCAATCATCCGGGTCAGCAGATATCGCTTCAAAAATTCTTGTGAGTGTAGCTGATGATCATATCAAACTTTTTGGAGTAGCATTTCTCTCAGATTTTAGTTTTAAGCTATGAAATGTGGCCTCAAACGACTTAGTAAAATTCATCGTAAAAAAGGCCAAAAATGGCAGATTTAAGGCAATTATAAATTCCTTTCTAGGGCTTCTTGTACGGATTGTAAGTAATGTTCAGTAAAAAAATTAGCCAAAAACGTTTAAAATTACTCGGTATTACAGTTTACAGTAACAGACTTCTCAAAATTTTCGAACAAGAAAATATTTATTTTTTCGAAAGTGAGTGCTCTCAAAATTAGTTTTTAATGTATCAAATCTTATTGTTTTTATGTATACTTTCTTAATATGAAGTTAACAACAGGGCCACGGCATAAATACTTTATGTATATGTCCCCTTTATGTATATGTTCATTAAGAGAAATACACGCTTAATCACACAATTCCTTTCCAATTACAAAACAATGCTGCAAATACCAGTGCGAGCATGAGCTCAGAAAAGTACAACAAATAATTATGAACTGTCGCAAATTAACGAAACATATTGTATAACAACACATTTTGGACCTTTGCCGATAGTTGAAATTCGACATCTAGCGTCATCTAGCGTGAGATGTCGCCTGATGATGATAGATGACGCTAGATGTCGTTAGATGACGTTAGATGACGCTGACATCTAGCGTTATATGTCGTGACGACATCTACAGAATGGTAACGTACCTATAAAAACACTGCATTAATTTAAGTAACATTGTATTTACAGCTAAGAGTATTTACTATTTACGTACCTGGTAGAAAAGGGGGAGGCGATATCTCCGGCGATAGTTCCGCTATTCTGCACTCTTTGTCAGCCGATAGCATTACCAGGTTGATTAAACACTCAACTACTCCGCTAATCGAGAAATCATACCAGTTCACAGTGCCGCCGATTATACTACATTATACTTCAGCAGAACATATCACATTAACCCGTTAATGATAACCAATGTCACGCAGCAGGACCACAGCTAATGGCCGGGCAGGGTTTACAAATCAAGCCTGACAACTGGCCAATAAGATGGGAGATAATATCACGTGTTCTCATAGACGGTAACCAGGGCAACCAGGGTGCGGGGCTTGAGCTGGGACGTGCAAATGACAAATCGTATAGCGGAGCGAACAGTGCTTAAATTGTTGATTAGGTGCAGTCAGGTATTGTTATCCACCGCAAGAACCATCACCATTGGTGAGCGAGTATCACGTGGTCTTATCAATACATCACATGGCCAAATATGGTGATCACGTGATCTTATCATTACATCACATGACCAAATATGGTGATCACGTTATCTTATCCAAGGAGGTGGGATATGGGATGTGTTCTAATGTTAACCTTATCATAAATAATGACCAGACGCTTTACCAGGTAACTGGGATGGTGGAGGAACACATCTGATCATTAGTGACCGGCCTCTTGTAGTGATAAGTCTCTCGGAGTGCAGGAGTGTGACAAAACAAACAATGATAGACTAACAGATAACAATGTGAGACTGAGCAGGATTACTAAAAACAATAGCCAGTACAGCAGACCAGCCAGAGTTTTGTGACTGTTCATAACTGTAATCTGTATGTACGGGAGCAGAGCCTGGCATTTCATCCGACAGTTTGAGTTTCCGAGTTCAAACTTTTAAATAACTTAACTCTCTTTGATTACAAATATTTGGGCTCTCTAACTCGTCTAAAAGCTGCGTGTTTTAGTAAATATAACAAGCAAGGATATATATTTATTTATATAGCACAAACCTAGATGTTTATCAGAAAAGTGGATCGATCGACTCTTGAGGAGGGAGATGTCAGCGTGCGTTGCCAGGACTATGACGTCACGTTGCTAAGTGACGTCACGCCGCCACACACGTGTCCTATCAGCAATTGGTTAGTCACGTGATTCAGTCTGTTCCTGCTGAGCCGGCTTGCTAAACAACACAAGGAGTATATAGTATATATACATGGTAGAACGGTTAATATACACGCTTCAAAAACAAACCACAGTACAAACTATCTTTAACGCGAAGCATTTCTCGACATGTCAAGGAAATTTGAAATGCAGCTCAAAATTGCAAGATTTTTCCAAAATACACGAAAAAATAAAATATTGTACTATTATATTTAATATTATGTTGAGAAGGTAATTCATTTGTTCTAATCTCTAATGGATAGCCGGCAATAAGCAGAGATTCCTCCGGCATGCAGGCACTTGAATATCCAAAGTAATACTAATAATGATAATACAGGATAATACTGGTAATATCACTAGTCAATACTACTGAATAATGCAGAAAACAAAAGATCGCGGGCAGTATACATCGATAGAAGAAGAAGCTTCTTGGAGTGAAATCAGCACGTTATCTTTATTTAAAATTGACGGGAGTCAGTTGAAAGAGTGCTAGTTAAAGTAATGATAGTAACTAGTAGTATTTATAGTATATCATATAGTGCTCGATGTTAGAACGAAAGAAAAGTGAAAATATCGATAAGCAGGATAACCAGGATAACAACGACTATCCTGTATAATGTTTATTGTTTAATCTTTAAAAACCAGACTGTATGGGATCTGGATATAGTACGGGACCTGGATATAGTACGGGACCTGGATATAGTACGGGACCTGGATAGTGGATATAGTACGGGATATTTATAAGAAATGAAATAAAGCCTTTTTATTCCGCTTATATCAACAATATAAAGATTGCCGATGTCAAAGCGGCTGGCCTATGAATATACCCCAAACTAAGATATTCAGTTAATGAATAGTATATATAAATTTATTATATTAATTACACTATAATAGTATATATATTAATTGCACTGTAATAGTATATATATAATAATATATTAATTTCCCCTGACAACACCATTCGAGTGATCTCAACCTTTGGAAGTGACTCAGCAATGATAGAGATTATTGAAAAGTTTGAATCTACTATATACAGGGTGGGCCATAAAACACTACCCATCCTTATCTCTTAAAATTGTTACAGCTCGCGGAGATCTTGATAATTATTTTATTTCAGAATGGAAAAGCGCCATAACTTACGTTCTGATTAATATTTTTGCTTCAAATTTTTAGAGAATGTCAATCATAATTAGACACAACTTCGTGCTAAGTTTTGTGTGAGTCTGAGCTTATTTGGACACGTTCATAAAAAGGTGGCACTAGAGATTGATTTTTCACTGCCAAAATTGTGTGAAGCATTTTTATGTCAAATGTCACATAATTAAGTCATTCATCTCTTTATATCTGTTAATTGTGCAGATATGAACCAGAAATCACAAAATATTCATTTCTTGCACCTCTAATGATGAATTTACATTCTGTGAGTGTGTCCTGCTTCTCAATGTGATTATTGAACCTTTTTGAGATAGTTGAGTGTTAAAAGTGCAAAGAGTCACCGGTTAAATGTGGAGTTATGATGCAATTATCACACACAGGGTTAATTCTGACTAATTATTTTAGAATGATGAATGTGATATGAATATCAACGGAATGATTGTAATAATGAACTCTATCGATCACAATTATAGCATGCTAACTAATATTTAGAGAATTTAGATGGTTAAAAGTGCCATAATGAGTCAAAAATCACATAAATGAGCATGTATTGAAATGATGCTGTATCAGGGGAATGTATCACTTTTTGGCTCTATATCAGGTTGGTATTCATAGTAAATCTGCAGTGATTTGTTGTGACACTTGTTTATGGTCATGGAGAAGTTCGTTATTGGAGTAATACTGGAATCAATAATCACAAAACACTGATTTTAAACTGAGTAAACTAGGCAAGTACTTTTACTACTCAAGCCATGATAATTTTGTCTCCATAATGTGACAAATGAATCAATCAGTAACGTATAATACTTAATTGGATTTTTGAAATGTGATTATCGATTCATTACCTTTCCTTTCAAAATGTCATTACAACTTGAACATTACATATGATTCAATTGTCACACTTTAAAGAAAATTACATATTTGGTAGCTCGATTTATGTGATTTTTGAATCATTTAAGCACCCAGATCAAAAATTATCGTTCAAAGACCTTCAATATGGTATAAGCTTAGACATGGATTCAAAAATCACATAATAAGATTCATAGAATGAATATAAATTGTCATATCGTGCACTTAATTTAAGGCTTACTATAGTGTGACTTAATAGCGCACCTTTAACGAAAATGTGACTTTTGAATCATATTAACTGGTTTTAATACTATTTAATACTATTTTGTACCCTAAAAAATGATAGAAAGCCAATAAAAAAGTTAGATGATTCAATAATCACTGCTCAAAAAAGGCTCATTTCCAACGTTTAAGTTGTGATTTTTGACTCATTTTGGCACCAATAACAATTTCAGATAAGACATTCCATTCCTTACATGCATTATAGTCACCATATCAATTTTGGCTTATTTGTGAATATTACTTTTCAGATTATCTAGTGTTGATTCATCTTGCATTTCTAATTGTGTGACTTTTGACTCATTGGCACACTAATAACGATAACTCCTGTGATATAAGCACTAGAGACTCCGTGATTTCAGGATCATGAAATGTAATCGAATTTCTAAAGGTATAGATAGATATATCAACCAACAAAGAGCAATGACTATTTTTTAAACGCATTTTAAAAAATCAATCTCTAGTGCCACCTTTTTTTGAACGTGTCCATTTGACCAATTTAGCCCCTGAGCGAGCTAGCTTGAATTTCTCACCCAGAAATGTTTACATTGGTTAATAGGAACCACAAAAAAAATCCTGGGTAAAACAAATTAAAAAACCACCGATTTATTTATGTTTTACCAATTCTATTCACCATGATACATCGCACATTCCACATGTGAAAAGAACGATATAAACAAGCAGGAAGGATCATCTGTGATAGTCCTTATCAGTTAAAATATAGAGAGAATAGAATGTGCGATGGATCCATGTGAATAGAATTGGTAAAACGTGAATAAATCGCTGGTTTTTTTATTTTGTTACCCAGGATTTTTTTGGTGGTTTCTATTAACCAATGTAAACAGTTCTGGGTGAGAAATTCAGGCTAGCTCGCTCAGGGGCTAAATTGGTCAAATAAGCTCAGTGAAGCTCGCAATCACACAAAACTTGCCACAAAGGTTTTAAGGTTTAGCTACTTGTTATTAACATTCTGTGAAATTTAGAAGCAAAAATATTTATCAGAACATAAGTTATGCCACTTTTTGTTTTTTAAATAATTATCAAGATCTCAGCGAGCTGTAACAATTTTAAGAGATAAGGATGGGTAGTGTTTTATGGCCCACCCTGTATATATGGGACCTGGAATAATCCTGGATATAGTACAGGACATGGATATAGTATATTATATACACTATACAGGTCCCGTACTATATAGTATATTCCGTATTATATATTACTATACACTAGTGTAACCCGTGCCTACGGTCGGCCGGACTCCACTATCGCAGTTGAAATGCAAAAGTATAAACCCGCCTATTCTATATTCGAAAACACGCATTACATTTTCGTAGGTTAAAACGGTGCAAAAGTATGAACTCGCTCAGTCCAAACAGACTGCAATTTAATTCTGAGTGCCCCTCACATATCTAATAGTAATACTTGTAGCCAATTTTCAGACCTCCACTACCAAATTACATAATTATATCGCAAATCTGTTATGAGGGGCAATGCTGTTAAATTCGCACTAAACGTATTAATATTATTCGAATTAAATTCGCATACGAATTTTTCTCTGAAAATTGCTGCATTTAAAAAATATACCAAATACGGGAATAGAACAGGAAATCACGTGCCCGCATCAAAATGTTCACGATATAATAGTTGGCTTTGTATGGTGGAATATTGTCAAAACATGTGCTTCCCGCAACACGTGCGTGGTTACTGGTTAGTGACTAGCGTGGATACTGACCAATATCGCAAGGGGTTAAATTTAGCTCATACCCGAATACGTTATGGAGTAAACTAACTTCTCTTAATAAACTTGAAATCATTTAATTTCCTCCACAGTCTAGTCTACTTGTCGAGATTTGTAAGTTTGAGATTTGAAGTATAACGTCACGATTCACATATCCAACTAGATAATAGACTCGAAAATTCTGCGTGTTCCCACAGCCGCATTTTTGGCGAATTTTCCGCACATTTTTTGGCGAATTTAACAGCCCTTAAAATTAAAACTTGAAGTTGTAAATTGGCGAATTATTCGAGTATTTTTTGAGAACTCTAAATTATACGCCGTACTTTTTGACGAAAATTTGGCGAAGTACACAGTGTGTACTTCGCCAAATTTTCGTGTACTACACACACAAACCCACTTTAGTATCACATTTGGGTCACAAAATGATCAAATAAACCACCTAACACCGACCGATTTGAAAAAACTTAATCATTTGGCTTCGTCAGAGTTTTGTCAGCACTATACCGAAAAAACCAGTCGCATATCTCTTACCGTTTTCTTGATTTAACCATTCGTAAATTACAGACACACAGACAGACAGACACACACACACACACACACTTATTGAGATTATTAGTATCTAGATATTAGATAGTACGGAAAGAATTATGGAATTGAGTAGAATAGTATGAAGTTGGAGGGAAGACCTAGCATCCAAACTAGATCGCGCTGATTTTAATAAAAGTTTTGTGACACGTTATAATGCAGAATGAAATTACTTTTAAAGTCGCCTTAAAATAGCCTGGCTGAAGGACAAAGGTCGTAAAAAACTGTATAATACAAAAGCTTAATGCATCTTACTCAGATTAAGACTCTGTGTTAATATACCTTTATCATTTCCAAAGATAATTGATAAATTTAATCATTTGTGCTGAAAAACGTCTGAATGTTATTTAAATATGCTTTGATGAAAGCCATATTAAATAATAGTTCAGAAGTAAGTTTTAAATAGTTAGTCAATGTC